ATATTGTAATGCATAACTTGTGATTATAAACTAGTATGGCAGAGGTAAGTATGGTCAGTGGACCCAAGAGGCAATGTTTTTGCATTAGATCATCCAACCTCTTCTCTCATCTTTGATTTCAAATATTCTTTTAAAGCTGACAGCCTGTACTGGTTCTTAGGTGATAAATTAGGGATTGGGTGGTTTTCTTTATTGTATAGGTATGTGAAAGATATTTTTAATGTGCCTTTGCAAACTGAGAGATTCTCCTGAGTATGCTGATACCTCCGTATTTTTTCTGTGGTCCTGAATTGAACATATTTGCTGTTAGGAGTGATGTTAGTATCTCAATTAGAGACTGTATTGGAGCAGCTGCTATGAATTCAATATTTATGTGGTGCAACTTCACAGGATAAATATTAAATAGATACATTTGGAGCATGTGTGGAAATCCAAATTGGCAGGTGAATTTGTTCAGATTTTTAGACTTACACTCACAAATTCCAGGTTAGAAAATCATAAAGGTAAAAAACCCCACATATATCTTAGCACTAATTTTAAAATTTCCCAGTTTCTAAATGGCACCCCAATGACTTAGTAATACAACAACTCTCAAAAGATATTAATAAGTGCTTGAGCATGAACTGGCCTCCAGAGTCCTTCAGGGATGGTCTGATTTGATTTATACAATGCTACTGAGGCTCCTTCTACACTGCCCTATATCCCAGGATCTGATTCCAGTTTATCTGCTTATCCCATATTATCTGGCAGTATAGACTCATATAATCCAGTTCAAAGCAGATAATCTGGGATCAGATCCTGGGATATAGGGCAGTGTAGATTCATCCTAAAAGTGAATATTGAGTGTGTTTAGCGTGTCTTAGATGTTCTACTAGGAATGAACAATGTAGCAGGGTTTTAGTCACAGTGGCTGGTTCCACACAGTGGCTGGTTCCACAAAGTCCGCATACTTCCCCCCAAAACTCATGCTTTCCTGGGGGGGTGGGGGGGTGGGTGGAGAGGTGTCTAGATGCTATGTCGGACCATCTGGCAAGGCACTCAGACACTAAAGAAAATGCCCCAGAAAAGCCTTAAAATTAAAAATAACTTACCTGGCTGCCATTACCCTTTGCCGGAGTCTTCTTGGCACATAGAAATGACATGCCAAGGAGGGGGGGGGGGAGAACAATTTTGCCTGCCTGGCATGTCATTTCAACATACCTGGCATGTCATCTTGACACATCAGGAGAGCTTTGCCACCAGGGTAATGGCAGCCAGGTAAGTTATTTTTAATTTTTAAGGAGTTTGGGTGAGGGGGTTACAGCCCTCTGGGTTTTCCAGGCTGATTCAGCCCAGAAAATGGAAGAGGGTTGTGTGGACTGCAGTCCGTACAGGGCCCATACTGGATTAGACCTGGGTCTTTCAGAAGACCCAGGTCTAATCCAGTATCTAATTAATTCAGGACAAAGCAAGGTTATTCTGCTCTGTCCCAAATTAATTTGCTTTTACCAGAGGAATTGTTTGGATGTCTCTGTTAAAAATGCACAAGCTCGTGTATTTTGGGCCCAGTGATTCCATGAAAAGTTTTATAGGTTAACCCTAGGTTTCTGAATTGTACAATTCTTTATAGAGGTAATATATAAATCCCATTTACATTTTATGACCACCGCCACCTTATAAAGAATCTAACGTTTTCTAAACACTATTCAATTTTATAAATAAGACTTAACATTCTTCTTTTAAAATGGAAACCAGATTTGTTGTTCATTCGTTCAGTCGTCTCCGACTCTTCGTGACCTCATGGACCAGCCCACGCCAGAGCTCCCTGTCGGCCGTTACCACCCCCAGCTCCCTCAACGTCAGTCCAGTCAAACCAGATACAAGTTCAAATTCACTTCTTACATGCAAACAGGGAAATGAAGTTGCCTTTCCAGAGATAATCTAGAATGAGTAATACCCCCTGGAGTTTTTTTTTTTTTGGGGGGGGGGGGGTAAAATACTTTTTAATGATAAAGTAAAGCTAGGTAGGTATTTGTTTTATACTGCCAGTTAGACCCCTTCTACACTGCCATATAATCCTGATTATCAAAGTAGATAATCCACATTATCTGCTTTGAAGTGGACTATATGAGTCTATACTGCCATATAATCCAGTTCAAAGTAGATAATCTGTATTTTATATGGCAGTGTAGAAGGGGCCTTAGAATGGTGCTCCCACAAGATTTAACATGTATCATGTTTTGAAGTCATGACAAAAGGTGAAATTTTCAAGAATATCTACATTTTAAATCTTATACACCATGATCTTTTTTCTAAGACATCTGATCCATTGCACACAAACTCTTGTGGTGTCTTATGCATGTTCAGATGACGTTTTGCTTGCTATTTGGTTCACAGGTCACTACCTATTTAAAATGGGCTGTGTCTTCAGCAGTGAGCACACTGCAACGAACAGCAGATTCAGTTTTCTGCTGTATGCTCATAGTCTAATCACAGACTTTCTTAAATGACAGTTTATCAACTAAAGATTTGCATACTTGTTATAACAAGAATTTAGATGCATTAACTAAAATGTGCCAAGAGGAGAAATGGAGGCATTTTTACAAAATTAAATAAAAATCAAGGTCTTTGCAAAAACAGAGATGTGTGTTCCTTAGAAAATTGGAAAGTAGATGGAGAGGCATTGAAACTGTATATAATTTGTAATAAGAAATCTGTCAAGTAATCTTGATAATTATTCCGTTATCATTTAAAGAGCTTTCATGTTCTCCTTTTCCTCTTCCTGTTATGAAAAGGTATACTCATAATCTGCATTTTAAAAATGTATTTTCTATTCCATGGAAAGCTGCAGTGGCTATTACTCAGAAACAGAGCACAATAATGTGATCACTGAATGTATCTTGCCCCCTGAGCTGTTAATAGTTGCCCCACCACTACCACTCCAAGTACTCTAGAGCAGGGGTCCTCGAACTTTTTTAACAGGGGGCCAGTTCACTGTCCCTCAGACCGTTGGAGGGTCGGACTATAGTTTTTTTTTTTAAAAAAAACTATGATTAAATTCCTATGCACACTGCACATACCTTATTTTGCTACTGTTGTGAATCATAATGTAAATATCTGATATGCAGGATGTATTTTCATTGTTACAAACTGAACATAAAGCATTGTGATTAATCACAAAAAGAATATGTAATTATATATTTTGAAATATTTATTTCTAATTACAAATAAATGAAATTTTGACATCAAGCATGTCGTAGCAAGAGTAACAGTCTTAATATAACAACAGGGAACCCATTAATATGTTTACTGATCAGCCTATCAGCTGAACTCCCATGATCAACAGAAAATACTGGAGAGGTTTGGTTAAAATACACTCGAACATGTGGACGTTGCAGTCACTCCTGCAATCAAAGAGCATTCTGAATTCCCCAACAATGGGATTCAACCAAACTTGGCATACAGAACACCCATGACAATTAGATTCATCATAGTTTGTGGCAGCCACACAAACAAAGTATCTGGAGGAGAACAACTATGTTCAAAGTAAGGATGACACAATTAAACAGGATATAACACTTTCAAGCCAGGAACAGATTTTTGTTCTCCAATTTGGTTTCAGAGTGTAATTCCAGGTGGGAAGCTCTGACCAAAGCAGGAGATCACAAGAGGAGGGCTTTATTATTATTATTATTATTATTATTATTATTATTATTATTATTATTATGTTTATTATTATGTTTATTATGTTTATTTATACACTACTTTTTGTCTCCACAAGGAGACTGTGGGCCCTTCCAGACAGGCCCTATATCCCAGGATCTGATCCCAGGTTTTCTTTTTTAAACTGGATTATATAAATCTGCACGGCCAGATAATCTGGGACAAAGAGAAAACCTAGGATCAGATCCTGGGATATATGACCTGTCTTGAAGGGCCCTCAAAGGGCCCTTCCAAACAGCCATATAACCCAGAATGTCAGGCAGATAATCCTCAATATCTGCTTTGAACTGCATTATCAGAGTCCACACTGCCATATAAACCAGTGTGGATTTTATACAGCTGTGTGGAAGGGGCCAAAGCAGCTTACATTTCAATAAAATTTCAAATCTACAAATATATGAAACACTACAACAGAATTAAATATCACTGGTATTTCTTAAAGCAGGCATGGGCCAACTTGGGCCCTCCTTGTGTTTTGGACTTTAATTCCCACAACTCCTAACAGCCTACCTATGGGCTGTTTTCACAGCAGGAGCCTGGATTTGCCGAAGAGAAGCAGAGGACAAAGAAGGGAAGAAAAGGAACCCCAGGTTTTGAGGAGACGTCTTTCCTCCAGGAGGCTGGCGTTTCTGCCGCCCCCACTCTCCCCTTCCTGTTTAGCTGGGGGTGGGTGGGCTTTGCTCCTTGAGCCCTGCGTTCAGGTAGAGATGGAGGGAAGGAGGGAGGGCTGGATGGTGAGGGGAGGCTTCGGGGCTGCCTATTGGCAGCTGCATCTTTTCTGGAAGAGTGGAGGCAAGGGATTCTCTTGCCTCCGCTCTTTCAGGCAGCAGCCGCGCGCTCCCACCGCCGCCTTCACCTCCTCCGAGAAAGAAGAAGTAAGGGAAGAAGAGGAGAAAGGGAGAGGAAAAAAAGAGGGAGAAAGAGAAGAGAGAAAGGAGGAGGGAGAAAGAGAAAGATAAAGAGAGGGGAAAGGGGGAGAGACTGAAACGAGGAGAAGGAGAGAGAGCTTGAGCGGGAGACAGAAAGAACGAAAGGAGTTCTGCGTTAGCAGAGCCAAAACTTCACTAAGACGCAGGCCTCCTCCTCGGCGGGCTGGATAAATGCCCTCGGGGGGCCGCATCCGGCCCCCGGGCCACAGTTTGGGGACCCCTGCTCTAGAGGGCTTGAAAATCCTTTAGAAACCGTTTTCTCATTGCTGAAAGATGTAATAAAATGTTCTTTTTTGGCCATCTGTACTCATCTGGTACATAGTTGTTTTGAATGTCAAGAAAAGTGCAAAGAGATGTTTGCCTGCTTACCTCCATCAAGTTCTTCAGCACCAAAATGATTTCTGTAGAATAGCATAATCTCAATCTTGTAGCACTTGTAGATAGTCACTAAACAAACAAGTAGTAGAAGAATAGCACCAAGCCCGCCAGCAAGCTCAACTGTATACATCAGCTCTGCAAAGAATTACAAAACATAATAATTACATATTCCAACTTTAAGGCAGCCATTTATTATCACATCAGAAAAGGGAGAAATGCCTTTTAACAATTCTCAAACACATGTTGGATTGGGTTGTTGTAGATTTTTTCAGGCTAACTGTTGAAAACAGATTGAGCTTTTGTAGCGTGTTGTTACAAGCATGGAAACTCTTGTTGAGTACAACACAAATATGACATAGAGTCCATCTACATAGAAAAAAAATAATTTAAATAGGTTGCAAGGTATATATTTTGATTTTTCCAGATTTAAATATGAAGATAAATTATGTCATGATTCATGGTTCAGTTGTGTTTCAATATTGCACTCCTTTCACCATGGATATGCAATTCATCTTATCTACTTAGCTCTCCATAAACAAGATTGTCTTTACTTTACCTTTTAGATGTTGTGAATCTCCTCAATTTATCATTTCTGACATTCAAGATCAGCGGCAACTGTTACATTAAACCATGGTAGATTATGTAATGGGGTTGAAATCGCTATCATATAGTTTAGTTTCCAAGGATGAAAAATTGCTAGGAAAATTCAGTTTTATCTATCTCTCAACAAGAATCTCCTTGTAATATCACTTATCAGATAAACTGAAGTTTTAAATTCATTAGTACCCATTGCCTTCCCATTTGTTGTTGTTTCAGTCTTGCTGTTGTTTCTGTTGAGAATGTGAGATGAAAATATATACTTCTAAACATCACAAGCCTGTTGCATTGTTTCATAAAATGTATTAAAATTAGAGATGAAGAGTTATCTGTTACCCTAAAAGCATGCAAAACTTTATGGGCAGTAATGTTTCCATCATCCAGCCTTTGAAAAATCACTATAGCTAGCATTTGAAAGCAGTTAAAAATAGATTTATAGATTGAAAGAGAAAGATGAATAAAACACTGTGTTTTGTATGCCTTACTAACTGACTAGTGAATTTGTAAGTAATTTGTCTTTGTGATACTGGAAAGCAATTGTGAAGCTATTAGTTTATCATATAATTGACTGGAAATTCCTATATATCTAAATTCAGGCACATCCAAATGTTGTTTTTAAAGCAACCTCTTTGGGAGTGGATAAGGCTAGAACTAAGCTTGGGTGTTTTTCAGATCAAACTGAATGTGTCCACCAGTCAAAATACATTAGATATAAGCCCTATGGGTGCTTGCAAGAGTTATCCAATTGATGACCAGACATGAAATAACAAGATAAGAGAATTTTGGTAAAACCTAGGCCAGTTTTTTTGACATACAGTCTATTCGACCCACAGTTTGAAACAATTGTCCAGTCCTGCAGATTATGGTGACCAACTATCATAGAATCATAGAAACTTAGAGCTAGAAGTGTCCTTGGGGGCCATCCAGTCCAACCCCCTTCCAAGTAGCAGGAAAATCACATTTGAAGAATGCCCAAAAGATGGCCATACAACCTCTGTTTATCGGCCATGAATATAAGAGAGGTTTAGTCATAACAAATTTTGCACATTTTAGTGGTGCGGCATCAATCCAAAATAAAATGGATTATAAATTAATTGAATAAATTATTGAATAAATTAATTGTTAAACAAAACAATTAATTTATTTTGTATATAATATGCAGGTCACAATCTAGAAAAATATATATGATTTTTTAAAATACAGTTAGTTAAAAATTTTGAAAATCATTGAGAATTCAGTTTGACTTTTTAGCACCTTTTATTTTCATGCATAGGTGCTCAGAAGTGGCACTGATCTCAGAAGCACTTTACTTCCAAATAAACTTGACAAGGCTCCAGACGGCTGTTGGCCAAGGCTAGATGAATGCAAGGAAAGATGCTGAGGCCAGAAAAGAAAAATGGAAATAGAGTAGGGGCAAAATGGGAATCAAAATGGAAGACACATGGGAAAGAAAAGAGGAGTGTGGGAGAGAGAAAATACTTCCAGAAAGAAATTGAAGTATGAATATGTACGGAGAAGAATGAAGGCAGGAGGAAAAAGAAGTCCTGAAGGAGAAACAGAAGGGAGGAAGGCAAGGAAAAGGCAAAGATGAAGGGTTAATGATATGTGAGGAAAGGCAGTAGCCAGCAAGCTCAATCCCCCTCCCATCTCTTTTGGCAATTCTCTTTCTTCCCTCCCTCCCTCCCTGTTTCTCCAGGCTTTCTGTCTCTGTTGCTCATGTTGTGCTGAATTTACTGCAGGGCTGGTAGAGGCACCAGAGTTTGGGGCTGGCATTCTGACTCCTTCCTGTCCAATCAAATATATGGGAAAAATATAAGGCCATTAATGGAGCACAGAGGATTAAATAACAGTTCTAATATATGAATTCTCTTGAAATATAGGAGAGTTGGTCACACTACTGCAAATACATGGAATATTTTTAAAAACCCACATAAAGGGGATAAAATTTCGATTAGGAGTGTGCAAAATTTCAGAGGTTGTTTCATATTTCTGGAGATTTGGGTGATTTGTAACTACAAATTTTCAAAATATGAACTGGGAAGCCAGCATCAGAATCTTTCTGAAATGAAACAGCCCTTCCGAAATATTACAGAAAAAAAAAATCAGAAAGATTTAGAGATTTGGAGTAGTTTTTAAAAGTTAACAAAATTACCTGGTGTGGGAGGGAAGGAGGGGGCTGAATGCTGTAGCTGCAAAGCTAGTCTCCTCCCCTCAGTGAAAGATGTGTGCTTAAGAAATTCGTCCTGTGTTTGTTAAAACTTAAACTTAGTAAGTGGTTTAAATTTAGTAAGTGGTTTAAAATTACATTCCTATTTCCCTAGCCCTTGGATTGTGGATCTTAGAAAGTGGTTTAAAATTACACTGCTCTTTCCCTAGCCCTAGCAGGAAGATGGAATGATTATGTTACTATTATTCATTAATAATTCATTATTTATTATTATAATCATACAGCTGGAAGGGACCCATAAAGGCCATCCAGTCCCAAGCCATTCTGCCAAGCAGGAAGATGGAATTTCTATTATACTATTATGCATTATTATTATTATTATCATCATCATCATTATTAGACTCATATGGTTGAAATGGACTCCAAAGGCCATCCATGCTAATCCCCTTCTTCCCAAAAGGAGGACCCCCGTTAAATCCTTCTTGACAGATGGTAATCCAAACACTGCTTATAGAATCATATGCTGGGACTTTAAAGGCCATCCAGTCCAATTCTACTCAACAGGTAGGGGAACATCATCCAAGCCTTCCTAGCAGATGACTAACCAGGCTCTGCTTAAAAACTTGTCCCCAGTCACATATGCTTAAATTGAAAAAAAATCCTAAAAATCAGTAGATGAATGCATCTTTTTGAAACCTTGCAGGATCAATGCCCTGATTATGTTGTGTCACTGTGCAGAAATTCAAGGGGATCCCTGTTGTAGTTCTTTAAGAATATATTTGTAATTTTTTTAAAAAAGGTTCCTAAAAATCAGTGGATGACTGAAACATTCTGAAACTTGGCAGGCTTAAAGTGGTAAGTGTGGCCTACAATGTGGAAAATTTCAACCTAATAGCCATTAGAATATTTCATTTTTTCAAGCCTCAGACTGAGAGTGTGTGATATGCCTTAGGCACTTAAATGGAAAAAAAATCCTAAAGATCTGTGGATAACCAGATCATTCTAAAACTTTCCAGAAATTATGGCTTGCTTATGTTCTGACACTGTGGAGAAATTCAAAATAGATCCTTATTGTTGTTTTTTAAAAGAAAAATTAGTTTTAGAAACATTAAAATTTCCTAAAAATTAGTGCATAACCAAAATGTTATGAAACTTGGCAGACCTACAGCCATAAATATTGCCTAACAATGTGACAAGTTTCATCTTTATAGCCATAAAAATGACAGAGAAACAAGCATTGAAAATTTCCGCATTGCCACTAATGGAATGAATCTTTAACAAAATTTTGGAATTCAGATTGCAAATTGAAACACTCCACAGTCTTTCCAAATCTTTCAAAAGATTCAGAATTTGAATTTCAAAGCAGATTCCTAAATGGATTCCTGCCATTTTGCACACCTCTAATTTTGACCCAAAGGTGACCGGCAATGTTCAGACTACCCTGAGGATCAGGGGTGGTTGTCAATTGAAAGGAAAAAAAGGATTTTGTGCTGGGTGGACTGGCTCTAAATAACATAGGTCTGCCCCATACACATACAAAGCCTTGGCAGGTCATGCCAAACCACTCTTTTCACCAAGGTCATCAACCTGCCCCTCACCCATAGCACTAATCATTGCATGGTCTGAGGTGTACATAAAGTTGCAGCCATCAATGGCAACAATGTGGCTAACATGTTACCTCATCAGATATTATTTTTTAAAAATAATTTGAGTGCATTCCCTCAAGAGTCTAAACTACCAAGAGAATGTCAGTTCATTAAAACTTGTGACATAATACATATACAATTCTTTGATACTCTACAAGTCCCTTCATTGTTTTTGCTTCCATGATACAGTTTGGCCAGAAAGTTTTCCCTTTCTTTTTTATATATATTTTATCTAGAGTATTCAGTTATATATTTCAATTAAAGAAATATGAACCTTGGGAGGAAATTGTGAGCAATAAAATATATTCCTCACAATGTATTGCTTACACTGATATACTAGAGTTTTTATCATTGCAATGCATGCTGCATCTATAAAAGCTTCAGTGTTCTTCAAAATAGAATAGAATATAATCAAATATGATTATTTTTTGTTTTTAAAGGATTTGTGTTTTCACAATGTTCACAACAAAATGGTAATGTGGCTTCTTTTATATTCTATGGTTTAAGATCAAGAGCGCTGGTTCCACATATTTGATATATTTCTTATCTGTAGGGAAAAAGTGTTTTGTTTCCTTCAGATAAATAAGCCCACAACAGTTTCATTAGAATAGTAATAAAATGGGCAGGGAAATAAATGGAAATGGAAATTATATGGCCCTGGATTACCATAGCTCTGTTTATCACTTTCTGACACATGTGATGCGGCTGTTCAATAGTAACCAGAA